CGCCTCGCCCGCCGCCCCTCCGCCACGGCGGCACCTGTGTGGCGCTTCCCTCTCTTTAAACACTAAAAGCGGAAAATGGAAAAGTTTCGACATTCCCGCGCTCAAAAACTGTGACGAAATCCCACAGACGGGGCTTGTCCCGGGAGGGAACTGACAGTAGCCGGCTCCTGAGGGGATGCCCTGACACGGCCCCTCTCAGCCCTCCGCCCGCTGCTCTAACCCCGCTCGGCTCCCAGGCGTGAGGCGACATGTCCTCACAGGCGCCGCCTTCCCCTGGCCCCTCCGAAACCAGGGGCGGCGAGGCCTCGCTGAGCGCCAGGATGGAGGGCAGGTCAAGGATGTGGGCCCTGCATGGCACTGGCAGCACCTCAGCTATCCTCGCCGGGATGGCCGCCCCAGGGGGGTCCCCTGCCTCCTCAGCCTCACAGGAGGATGGAAAGAGACCTCTCTCTGCATTTTCACAACGTGCATCTGTCCTGCTCACACCATTAGATATACACGTTCCACTCAGACCGAAAAGCCTCAGGAGTAAGCACCTTCCTTCCAACAAGACCTGTCTGTTGGTGACAGGAGTACATCCAGGATCCCTCAGAGTCTGGAGCTTTCTTTGGAGGTTGTTGCAACAGGCGCTCAAGTCCAGGAGCTGCAACTCAAGCCTTTTCCCGAATGCCTACCTCTGTTAAATTTGCATGGTTTCAGAGGAGAGGACAGACTGACAATGCCTGTTGCTGCTGCCTGCAGGAACTCCTGCCTCTGGATCCATTCAGGGCAGGGATGGGGGTTGGGGTGCTGGATGTAGCCCCTTCTCCCTGCCAGACACGTACCCAGCCCCGCTGTGTTGGTGGCCCCCGGTGTCTCCACCACCCGGCCTGCTCTATGCAGTGTACACAGCAGAGCAGATCTGGATCCCAACTTTTCCACCACCTCCACAACTGCAAACCCTTTCCAAAATTGGGAATTTCCTCACTGTATTGAGAAGAATCAAAACTACCAAAGTTTGCTTGATGAAATACATTAATTACCAGAATGAGGTGGGGTCCTTGCTCTGGTAAAACTCAAAGTGGAGCCAGCAGGAGTTTTGCCAAGGATGGTGGCAGACTCAGGCCTAGCTGGCTATAAACATGGTTTCCTGACTGCCCTGTGAAGACTGAGAGGGACACAATTTGCTGTGGTTACTGATGAACAAATGCAGCTATGCAGGCTGCTAAAGGGGCTTTTGAACCACCGTGTGCATGTCCCATGGATTCTGCTCCCGGCCTCCAGAAGCAGGAGAGCATTCTCCTAACCGCGGTGTCAGGACCAGAGGCTCCTTTCTAAGTGAGGACGCTCATCCTCTTCTCTCTCCTGTCCTCCCAGATCTTCCAGCCAGGTAAAAATCATGCAAAGGAGCAGGGGATTGGTTTTCCTCATGGTGTTTCTAGTTCCTGCAAAGAAATATTTAATTTTCTGGTTCTACCCTGAGGGATAATGTTCAGATAAGGGAAAGACACAGAGGGACAGAAAGAGGCAGGTGGTTTTTTAGCCCACAAGGTGTCCCATCACTGCGGCACAAGATGGTCCAGTGAGACAACCGAGTCATGGCTGCACTGAGTGCCCGTGGCCTGGAGTCACCCATGGGCCTGTGCTGTTGGGATGTGGTGTGGCAGCAGGTGGGTGTGCGCTGCTTTGTAGGCAGTGAGCTCTCACGTGCCCTCCCCGCCCCGTCTGCCCTTGGGGGACACAACACTGGGGCCTCTCAACTTGCCGCCCCGGCATTGCTGGTGTGACAACACATCCCCGCGAGGACAGGGAGGGCAGGGCCTGGCTGCACGTGCCCACACATCTCTCTCTCTCTCTCAAGCAGCCCCACCGTTCTCCCAAACGTGCCTCAGCACTCACTCCCAGCCCACCCACAAGCGTGCAAGCTGCTGGACGGTCACTGTAGGTGGCTGAGCCCCCACCTGAAATGAAGTCCGGAGCAGGAAGGGTTGTGCAGCCTGTATCCCAGCAGATGCAATACCACAAGGGCTAATTCCAGTCACAACACAGTATCCTGTTGTTTTTCCCTAAGCTGCCACAAATCAGTTAAAAGCTACAGGCTTGATGCTGTCGTGACACTGTAGCATGGGGGACTATTGCATTTGTTCACAGCTGGACCAAACTGCGTCCTTGTGTTCAGCAAGTGCCACTTCCAAAGTGACATGGCTACGCTTGCCTGACTGAGTGGCTTTGACTTGGTCCACCCTCTTCCCACCTCCTTCCCAAATCTCTTCCAAAGTAGTAAAAGAACAGAGGGGCCTCATCAGAAAGCTGGTAGGGACATCTCCAGTGACATGACCCAACATCTCACGTGCTGGAGAAGATGCCTGGGAGGTCTATAAAGTGATGTGAGGCCCTATTCAGTCATGGGTGCCGTGTTGTGAGGTAGGGTGATTACCCTCATCGATGGCATACATATCAAAGCACCCAGGGCAAGAATAAACAAACATATTTGGCACTGTGCTCAGCTTCCATTAGCCAAAAGGCAGGTGTGTGTGTGTGTGGGTATAGCAAGTTTTCCAGCCGTTTCCCTGAACTCAGCCCTGATGTTGCAAGAACTGCCTAGCTGTGAAAACACAGCCTCGCCTTGATTTATGCCGCTTGTGGGTAAGATGAGTAAGAAGAAGGAAAAAAAACCCCAACAACCAGAACAGGAACAGAAATCCCAGTGGGAGCACGATGCGGGTGTGTACCAATTTGGTGGGACAGTCAGGTTGAGGAAACTGCAGCCAGAGCTTCAGGCGGTAGGAAGAGGAGACCACAAACCACATGATAGGTATCACAATGTTCCACCTAAGATACAAAAGCATGCCACAAGCTTTTATGAAGACAACTTTTTCATAACAGCAAGGGAAATTAATTCTTTTGTGTAATTGTAACATTTTTTTCTCCTTCAGATGAGTTCCATATGTCCTCGTGATTTTTTTCCTTTAAACACAGCAGTTTAGAACGAATCTTAAGTAACGTTTAGCCTGCTTCTAAAGTAAATATTTACAAAAACATTAAATAATGGTTCTGATCTTTGGAAAATGTATATTGCTCCCTACCTGCTACTGTTTTGTGCCTATCTGGAGTAATAGAGAAGCTTTGTAATAAACACCAAGGCTGTAAAAGCAGTATAACAGTGTGATTAGCAGTAATCAGATGGGAAATACTGACTATTAAAAACTGTGAAGAGATAAGAGGGATAAATTGCAAAGGGAAGGTTACATTATTTTGTTTTAACAAATTTAAAGAAATCTAATGGGAGAATAGGCTTTTAATCTTACAAAAGCTGTATTGTTTTTTGGAAGCATAAGAGTGTTAGCTGATATTTATGTCATGTATCATCTTCAAAGAGCTTTACTAAATAAATATTAATCATTTCACCAGCCACTTAAAGGCAACCACTTCAGGGGTGTGGTGAGGCAACAACTTAGCAAGTAAGTTGTACTAAGACAGGAAGTGAAGACAGCCAGACTCAATAAGGAGTCCATGTGGGTACAAAAAATATTTGTGGAGGCTTTAACAATATCTTTAATCAGGCAAAACAAAACCCCATGGAATAGAAGGCAGATTTGTTTGTTAATGAGAAGCTGGCATTGGAACTTGCAATTACAGTGTGTTTCCAACAGGTAAAGAAGATTATTAGATCTGAGAGGAAACAGTTTGTGAAGGATCAGTATTTGCATGCAGGGAAGAGTAACACTTTTTTATCAGAAAATGCTCCTTACAGCGCTCACTACTCTTTTGTCTCTTCCTCTCCTCTCGCCTTCCTCCCAGGAAAAATACCATGTTGTTGGCCTGTGCTGTATCGGTATTTCTCTGTCTCTGCCATGGTGTACTTTCTTTTGAAGAATTTCAAAGCACCCAGTGGATTTCAGTCTCTGCATTTCTTACGCCTTTCCTGTAATGAGGAACTCTAGCTGATCCACTGGCTCTCCCAAAAGCTGTCCTATGTCAAAACTGGAAGAGTCAGAACCCAGCTTTTCCTTTTTCCACGAATGAAGCCAAAGGTGTCTTCTGCTCCTGCCAGAGATGGCAGATGAGATTCAATCTTTTCGTACACTACAGATCATAGAATAATTTAGGTTGGAAAGGACTTCATGAGGTCTCTGGTCCAACCGCCCTCACTCTGAGCAGGGTTAACTTCAATGTTAGATCAGGTTGCTCAGGTCCAGTTAAGGATCCTAATTAGATTTCTCTGCTCTCTTATGCACAGGTGGCATTATATGTAGCTGTCATGGATTCAGAAAGTAATAAGCCTAAAGCAGTTGCACTGCTAGCTATCATGCCATGACTTGTTATTTGCCGTGACACCTGTGCTGTGATGTGTCTAGCAAATACAGATTTTCCTGCAGAAGACTGATTTTGGTGTTAGCAGTTGTATTCACATGTAACATCATTGTTCCTGCAATTCATGATTTGAAACATGCAGTTGTCAGAGGAACAAGCCTCTACTACTTAAGGCTGTCACACTGAAACTGCTGAATTATCACAACTGTTTTAATGTTTCACACCTCTTTTTCCTGTGTATTGCAACCAATACGATGTAGTCACTGTAGTCAGTCTTATATTTGCTTGCCTGTTTGTCATCCTGTGTCCAATTCAGTGTCCTTTGTCTCAGCATTCCAGAAACAACCAACCTAGTTCTTGAAGAAAATCCCCTCTCCATCCTAACATCCTCCCTTCTAAGGACTAGGTATGAATTTTGCAGACCAACCAGCATTAATAGCTTGTATTACATTTTGCAAAGTCTCACCTTGTGCTGTGGCCTCTGCAATGACAGACCACATCCTGCCTGAGACCAGGCGTGTAAATACGCTGAAGAAAACCTTTCCCAGTGTCAGACTCTGGTATGCATTCTCCCTCTGTATAAAGTTTAGTCTGCGTTTGTGTATGTATATAATATTACATATGCATACACCTAGGAAGGTGTATGTATCTCTCTGTGTGTGTGTTTATATATATTAGTGTGTTTATACATACATATACATATATACATGCATACACACACACAAAATGATAGGATAGGTGAATGCTATTAACACTCCATTAAAAGTGCTTCTCAGCACTTTTTCCCATCCTCTCAGATATTCTGGATTTGGGCCCATGGAGGCAGAAGCCTGTCCTTCTCTGCTGTCCTTTTACTACAAGTATGGTGGATCCTGTCATTTTGAGGTCTTCTGTCTGCAACTTAATCAAAACATTACTGTTCCATTCCTAAAATTAAATCAGAGATGGTGAAAAAAAGGTCTGAAAGCAACTCATCCACCTGAACAGGAGTAATCTCCCTGCTGCATAGCAAAGGCTGTAGATGTTTCTTTAGCACAATAGATTATCTCCTTGAGGCCTAATAAGCAAAGAGATTTCTTCCTGTTCAGCATAGTTCAGTGTGCAGTTCCAGAAACTCCACTTAATTTCATAAACAGTTCAAACCTCTTTTATGTTCAGAGAATGATTGGGAGTTCAGCTGCTTGAGAGTCCTTTAAATGTTCCACTCTTTATTGTCATTCATTGTGTTTTCTTTTCCTGGTTTCTAGATTGCCATTGGTTTCTACAACCTTGGTATCTTATTATGTTCATTGGCATTTATTAATGAGAAGCCTGAGAGGAGTTTTGTAAGTGGGATGAGTCTTTATTATAAAACAGCTAAACCAGCCTTCCAAGACAGCACTTCTGAAAGAGGAGTCTGTGTGTGACAGCCTTTCTCCTAACCTGGAGCAGAATATTCCAAGCAAATGCAATAACTCGGTGCATATGTCTGAAGTAGCTGATTTACCAACAGCATTCCTGTTCCAGGGGCTTTGAACACGCATAATGGACATGTAAAATGTGCCAATATTTTGGTAATTTGGTTTAAAAACTGCTGCTTTTTTTCTTTTGGAGCTGGTGGAATATGGCTCACATTTGTTGCGTGTGTATAGGCCTGCTCCTTATTAAACTCATGGTCCTTTTTTCCAGTAACCACTTCAGTGCTGTGAATCAACATAGCCGGTTCAGAAAAACACCATCTGTCCATTGGATAAACAAAAGTCTAGTTAGCTGGAAGTTTAATAGATCACAAAGTCTCACCATGTCCATTTTTATGTTAATAAATTCCACCATGGAATATTTTCTGATGTCACATGGCAAAACTGTCTTAAATAAATAGCAGCTGAAGCATTTTCCATTATTTATCTTAGTGTTTTGTGAGCTTAACAATAGAAATTGGCCAGGATCTGAACTTCCCTAATCTCGAAGTGCCATATGGGTCTGTATGTTTGGTTTCATGAATTTTAGACAAGTAGGTTTAGAATGGATCTCATCTAGCCTGACTAGAGTTGGGTCAGATGGACCTCCACTATCCAAACCAGATGTCCATCTCACTTAGGAGTGGGGGCTGGCACTGGTGCTCAGTAATAGCCACTGACCTCATTTCATCCATCCTGTGCCCAAATTATTCTTTCCCATATTATTCATGGATAGTGCCATGGTGTGAGATGTCTCATCTGTCACCTGTGCTTGGAAAGACCTCCTCTGAAAGTCAGCTATTTCTTTCCCTTTTCCCTACCAATCTAATCTGTTTTTAAAAATTTCCCATGGTGGAGTTTTAATGCATCAGCAAGTATAGCTCAGGTGATTCCTTCATGTCCTGTCCACATTTTCCTGAGCAGAAGATTGGGTCTACAGGTGAATTCTAGGGAAGTTCTTCCAACAATAGCCATTTTACCTTTCTGAGCTATGGAGTTCGTCAGAGATGGTCTAGATGGTCTCCCCATGAAGGTGATTAGACTCTTCAGCTGCCAAGTTTCACTAGGAAGCTTTCATGTCTTCAGAGAAGGGTCATTCAGACTCCCTGCTGTTTCAAATCAAGTACAGGCAACACTTCCAAGAGTATATTCAAGTCCAGGATCCTTCCTGAGTGAGACTATGGTCAAGGCTGTACCAGTTTACCAGGTAGTATAGAAGGGAGTCATATTGCCTGGCTGCCTTTTGCGTGGCCACCAGATGGCTTTTTGATTCTGGTCATCTGCATACTGTTTTTTAATAGTAGTCCGGAACAAAGCGTACTCTTGCTCCTCTGGACCTGAATGCAAATACTTGGTGAGACCTTCCAAGTCATCCTAAGTCCATTAAAAAGGGTGAATAACAGATTTGCCTAAGAAGTTATAAAATTAGAGAGGAGATCACTAGACTAAGGAGGAGGACTCTGCTTTAGGCAGAACTACTAGTGTTGCTGAGGGACCCTGAGGGTGGAAGTTTATGCCAGCACTGCAGCAATGCTTTTGCAGGGTCATCACGGGGATGGTATTCTCTCTTGATGTCAGCGCAGCCTCTGGCAATGTTTCCTGATAAATGGGCTACTGGGGCTGCTGCAGCCAGTATGTGCTACCCTCTCCGTACATAGTCTTCTAGGGCACCTGCTGCAGGAGAAATCATAGAATTATAGAATCATTAAGGTTGGAAGAGACCTCTAAGATCATCGAGTCCAACCGTCAAGACTCGATGATCTTAGAGGTCTTTTCCAACCTTAATCATTCTATGATTCTATGAGTCCAACCGTTGACCCAACACCACCATGTCCACTAAACCATGTCCCTAAGTGCCGCATCTACACATCTTTTAAATACTTCCAGGGATGGTGACTCAACCACTTCCCTGGGCAGCCTGTTCCAATGTTTAACCACTCTTTCAGTAAAGAAATTTTTCCTCACGTCCAATCTAAACCTCCCCTGGCGCAACTTGAGGCCATTTGGCTGCCTCCCTTTATGAAGAAACCTGGTGGTGGTTATTAGAAAGGGATCCTACCCCTCTCCATGCTGTATCCCTTGTCCTCTCCCACAGAAAGAAAATAACAGGGAGCTTTTTCAATACCTGTATTTTTCTTGTAATGCTGCCAGTTCTCTGTCCAAATCACCAAACATAATTTTGCCCTATTTTTAGGAAGCCTCAGGTGAGGAGCAGCACATAGGTATGTTGTACACCCACACACATGGTGTAGAGTCCTACTTGTTTCTTTCTGTTCCCTGGAAACAACTTCTGCTGGTTTGAGTAAAACATGTAAATGTACTTAATCATGTGAAAGAAGATTTAACATTTCAGATCATAATAATCTTCCCCTTTCCTTCCTCCTGTGTAACTCAAAGTGGCTTATATATTTGAGATCCAGCTGTGTATGCTTGGATCTGTGATACTCAGATTGTACTTTGAAGCTACTCCTGCCCTGAAATCACACTGTGTGTATCCATTACAAGCTGTAGGGAAGAATTAATCAAATAAAACCTGATGCTATGCTATGCTAAAGCACATCACAACTTACCTATCTCTTCTTAAATATCTTCTGATTATTGCAGAACTGTAAAGCTCTTCTCTTGTTTCTTCGAAGAAAATTTACAGTAGCCCCAGTAATCCTTTTGCACTTGAGAAAAAGTAAACCTTTCACACTATTGCAAGTCCCTAAAATGCCTACAAGGGCTCCTCCGCTGAGCTCTGTCCTTATGGGTATCAAATGTTAGCTGTGAACTGGAAGACTGTGGAAGACTGTGATCCTACGTGGTAGGATCCCAATATCAGTTTATCACAGAAGTTACTATTTTCAGGGCTTTTTCAGTGCACTCTTTTTTCAAAACATTTTCAGTATACAAAGAGAAAATATTGTCTGTTTTGAAAGTGTGTTTATAGTGTACCATTGGTCCAAATTTATGACTAATCACTTTTAGTCTGCCTGCATGAGGAGTTAGGCTAGTCTCTCCTGTTGTTAGCATTGGTCATGTGGAGAGCATGAGGAAAGTAGAGAAAAAAGAACAGAATAGGAAAAATGTCATAATTTGGCAAGAAGAATGAGCTCTCCCCACTTTTTCAGAAACTAGCTTTGCTTTCATATGGAAGTAGATCTTGCAGGCAATGTAAAATCTGAGCTGTGCTTTCTGAGCACATCCTTTTGTTGAATCTCTATCTATAAATGCCTAGCCCTATGATGATAGCTGTTCTATAACCATGAAACAAAAGGATGGACTATGTATGTATTTTTGTCAAAAGCAGAGAAATATAGCCACAATAAACCCAGAAGTTTGCAGGGTGAAGTAAAAAAGATACTTTCTTTTCAGAAGCAAAAAGTTACGACTATTTGAATCTCACTGGGATGATGTTCATTGGGATCATCAGTCATACTTTTTGTTGTTGTTGCTAACTTACACATACGCACAGAAACTGCCTTTCATGGATGAAAAATGTCTTGCTTATTCACAAGCCCTGTAGAAATAAACATTATTTTATATATATGTACTGCTGGCAGTGAAGATTTTATTTTTCATGCCATGTGCCAAGCTTTCATTAGTCAAAGTGTGAAAAATCCCATTTGCTGTGTTTTGGAGAGCTCATGTTGGAAGGATTTAGAGAGCAATTCACTGATCTTTCAGTCACTGGAGAAGGGATCACCCTGGGAGCTGGCCAGCCACATGGGACTCGGGGGTTGTGCTTTAATCCTCAGCTTTGTAACCCACCCTTTTCTTGACTTTGGGCAAATCTCTTCATCTGTCTGCATCTTGGATCCCCAATGACAAGGATCAGGCTTTCAAGTAATAAATTTGTTCAGTAGTATAAACTTAATATATCTCAGATACTAATACGGTGGTAGCCACATGGTCAGACTCTTCAAGCTAAATAAGCTTGATAAATGGAGGCAAGTCTGGGTCTGAACATAAGTTTTGGAGAAGCTCCAGAGCACAAACAACGTGAATCCTTGATTTCACTCTACACCGTCACACAAAACCAAGCACACTTTTCTGTGCACTTGGATCTTTCCCTGCTGGAGTCCAGGTCCTGGTCTTTTCATCCCAAGCCTACCTCATTTTGCAGCTGACACAAGGAGGTAAGATCCCTGCGGTGTCCTCTCTAAATGAGGTCGCTGTGGAGATAGTAAAAGATCATGGAATAAGTAGAGCTGCCCTGGGAATGGCTTTAGCTTGATGGATTTAACTCCATGAAGCTGTGTATGTACCCATGAATATGTAAACTGAACGTGAGTTTGAGGTCCTGTTCCTACCTGTGCTGGTGAACTGTCTCTACGGTCCCTATTCCTCTGTGTAAAATAGGAAGAGCTTAAGAGCCAACATGAGTAAGATCAAACCCTCTGCTTATTCAGATGGAAAGTATTGCTTAAGTCCCCAGGGTTACATGAACTAAACCTAGGAGTTTGCTTTCTTTCTTAGAAGTGGTGTTGCCAAGTTCTGGACAGAATTTACAGAACAAATCTCTTGGCATTGTAATTCATTGCAAAGGAGACCTAAGTTTATCAACTGAATTATAGATGATGGAGCCTTATATCAATTCTTTAAGTGTCCTTTTTGGCTTCTTTTTGTGTTCCTTCTGTGCCCTCATCAAGATGCCCAATGAAAGACTTAAATCCATTTTCACCCTCTTTAGAGGCACTGACGATAAAGCAAATGAAATATTATTCTTTCTGAGTAGTAAATTTATAGCAGGCAATAACAAATCCATGAGAATTTATATGGCCTTTTGCCAAAGAAACCAAGGATTTGAATCCATATACTGAAAAATATACGCATATCTATTCCGGTGTTTAAGGAGCTGTGGGAAATCCATTTTTTTGAAGTAAAACGAGGAAAGTACCCCAAATCACCTATGACCCTCCTTTTAAAGCCTGAGTGTCACCAGAAGGTTAAAGCTTTATTAAGACTTTCTCATGCTTTTAGCTCCCCGACATATCTAAGGGGATGAAGGTATGAGAAGAATGAGGGCATCATACCATCAAACAGCCAAGCTTCCCATTATCCATGCATGGGACAATGTGACTCGAAGCTCAGTGTCAGTGTCTGCCCACTGAGATAAGGACTAGAAGCCTTACCAGATCCTCCCCTGAAGGAGCCATGGAATATGGTAAGATAGTCTTTTGAACTGACGCAACATATATCAGCATTCCTAAAACCAAACTGCACCTGGTCTCTTGCAACCTCTGTTCATTATCTTTTGATAGTTGTCAGCTTGCTGCCCTTCTCTCAGCTAACTCCCCACAAAAGGCAATGTGTTATCCTTCCAGTAAGCTGCATGTTCACTGGCTAACCACTCTGCTGAATTTCTTTTACTCCTCCCATTCTCCTCAGTTGCTTCTCTTGTGCTTTGGTCATGTTGGTAGGAGGATAAATGATACATCAATATCAAACCAACCTGGAGACTACTGAGATTTCCTCCTCCAATTTGGGATTTGGAGTTCCTGTTCTGAGAAAGCTCTTGAGAATGACTGGCTACCACAGTGTCTTTTTTCCTTGTGTTGCTCAGGCAGCTCAGGTCTCCATGGCTCAGTGGTTAAGGGAACCTACCAGATCTCTAGATGGGCATTTCCCAGGCTGCTTACTACCAGTGCACAGTTGTGGATCACGTCTTCTGCAGAGCTTGCTTTAACATTTTTGGCAAATCTCACCATGTCCTCACCAGTCCTCATTTGGCTACGCATGTGGAAGTCTTCAGACATGTCTGCAGTCGGATGCTAGCCGTGTTTTCAATCAACACGGTTCAGTTTTAAATTATAGCTGTAAGAGCTTTACAGGCTGTGCTGACAAGTCTGGTCCTTAAAAAAAAAAAAAAACAACCAAGCTCCAAACCAATGTGCTTTGGGGAGAAGAAGGGAGGGAAAGTGACATCCATTCTGGGAAGGAAGAAGCAATAACAAAATCTGGCACCCTGGTCTGTGTTTGCTCTAATGATGCATCTCCATGTGCTTTGTGTCCTTTGGTAACACTGTCCTTTCCGTGCCACATCGTGGATCGTCAGATGAGGAAGCTTGGCCCAAAATAAACGCCAGGCTGCTTTTCATCTCAGGGATTTGTTTGTGCCAAATGAACAAAGTGACTTCTTTGTGGCTGTTTGCATTTGTTGTTCCAAGTTGTCTGAGCACTAGGTTATAAATACACACCACCAATTGATAGCCTCAATATGTCCAGTCAGACAAGCTTTGCGTGCTGGCAAGAAAAGGATTTGGCTTGCCTTAATTATTTTTGTTTTAATACTTTTTAAATGTTTGATATAAATCAAAGATACCGTAAATACAACTCAGGAGGAGGGTGTTCCTTCCTTACCCATTTTGTAGACTGGGTTTCTGACCAAT